GGTGGCAGAAAAAAGAGAAACTTTTTTCAGATGAACAGTTAGCCAACCAACTGAAATTGCACTCCTCGGAGAAAAAAGGGTGGCCTGCTTATATGAAGGTCCTGCCCTGGTCCCTGATTGGTCCATTTCTATGCAAATGAGGAATCCATATTTGCAGTCTGATTGGTCCCAAAAGCACTGTCCTGATTGGTGGATATTGTGCATTCTGATCGGTTGCTATGGAGCTGCTCCTCTTGGTTAGTAAAGATGCAAATGAGGCTATAGCTCTGCAGCTCTCATTGGATGGGGCAGATGTCAGCCCATTGGTTGAAACAGGATTCCAGGAACTCCCTTAAAAGCCGGGCTCAGCTGGCAGGAGCACAGAGCAGGAGGCTGGCAGCTCTGTCTGGCTTTTCCCTGAAATGCATCCTGCATCCAAGGCGTCTGCAAAGAGTGACTGCTAGATTCTGGTTTTGAATGAATTTGGGCCCCACGAACCACAAGGGGTCCTCCTGGGCAGGTATGTTTCATCTCAGAGTCAATAAAACAAATAACATTGTTGAGTTCAAGTTCTTGAAAGCCCATCCCTAGCATGAAACAGTGGGGCTGGAAGACTACTTGACTATCTGGTTCTTCCAGTAGTAAAATACAGAAATGTTTAAAAATGCTTAAACAATGTTAGAAAAGTTTTAAACTGTTTGAGTTAACTTTCCTTAAAACTCAAAGTGTAATATTAAAGACACATTCACCACTGCCCTGAAGCGTGTGTACCCCAGAGATAATGATTTAAACTAACGCAGTGACTTGTCAAGATAAACGCCTGCCTGAGTGGCTACTCTCCTTAGCCCCTCGCCTTGTTTGAGATTAACGTAAGCGCATTGATGTAAATCATCTATAGCCACCCGAGCTGCTACAGGTATGAACAAGCTTTAAATATGGACCCTGGCCAGCTAACGATGCTCGTCTGTGGAGACAGCCACACAGGCACGTCCTTTTGCCAGTCCGGCAAGCGACACCGCTCCACGCTCCTCTCTCTGCCAAATGACAGAAAAACGGTAACACCCGATAGAGACGCGACTGAGCTCTCGGGTGAGGAACGCCGCCCCCCTGCACCCGGACCCCCTGCACCTGGACCGGACCAGCCCAGCTGCCGGACCCCAGAGGACAGCACCACAAGGATCCCTAACTAAGCTTGTACCCACAGCTCAGGAATTTGTGTGAGTAATAAAAAAGCTGTGTGATTTGCAACTGCTTATGTGTCATGTGGTGTAATTCCTCTGGCAGTTCACTGAATTATTTTGCGTACGCTTACACTTTAAATTAAAGCTTCTGGGCCCTCTGGTCCCAGGCCTGCCACTTGGTCCTGTTGTGTAGAGCAGCCTCTTCGCTACCAACTACTTGAATGCCCCACACCTGCACGGTTCAAGTTTATCTCAAGGGACGCCTTGGGTAAACCCCCAGATCCTTTCCCGCGATCTGCGTGGGACATCCAGCCACAGGCATAGGCGATAAGCACATTCTCTTGAGGCAAAAGGGAGAGAAAAGCTGGACAAAGAAGCCCACGGAGCTCGCCCCGGCTCCAGGATCTGAGGCCAAAGTCCTCAGCCTGGGCTGGCAGGTTCCAGGGCGCCTGAGGGTATGTCTTCGTTTTCGTGTTCAGAAGCCTCAAGGTTAGTGATTTTATCTGGAAGTGGTTAAAGGCACTCATCTTGCCATGAAGTGCAATGGCAACCTACTGGGTGTTAGGCTGTCTGACAGGAAGGGGCAGAGCCCTCCCCGTGTGACACTCGGGCATCTGCAGAGTCTCCCGTTCCCAACAAAACAGTAAAGGAAGGAGGGAAGCGCTGAAAGCATTTGAAAGGTCAAACTGTTACCGTGACCAGAACTACTTCTGTGTCCTGACATGGAAATCAAATCCAAGATTTAAAAAAAAAATACATTTTTCTAGAACAATACCAGCATATGACAGTATCGAGGCAGAGGTACAGGGGTTGAAATAAAATTGAGAAAAATGTTAGTCTTTTGCCATATGAGATACACATCCCAAGCAACTAACATCTTCATCTGCTCATCCGTTAGTAACATTAGGTATCCGACCCACTGGGTGAGAAGCAAAGGGACTCGCTGTCCCGTCCACTGTCAATAACACGTCCGTAACATTTGGGATAACTACACGTCCTCCTATCAGTCTGTTCTCAGTCCGGTCCCTGGGAGAGTACGCATCTGAGAGAAATGACAAGCTCATTTCTAAGTAACAAATACTGAAAGATACTATTCGTTGTAGGGGATTCTCTATGTTAGCGTAGGACGATCCCAGAAGATGATTTCAGGCATAAGTAGGACACAGATTTATTTTCCAGAATATGAAAAACTACCCAACACGTCTAAAAACATTACCTGTCCACAGTGACGACGCGCACTTCCTACTTTTCAAGCAGCTTATAATGTCCTTTGATTAGGATGATTGCAGAGGCAAGCCGGTGCGTGTATTTCATAGAAAAGAAGGGAAAGGCAGAGGCTGAAGAAGGGGAAGGAGGGACACAGAGAAATGAACGACTCACAGCAGCAAGCACGAGAAAAGATCGTGATTAGTAATCAACCCTGGGGCGAGAAGCAGGCCTCTGAACCTGGGCATCGCGGAGCAAGCCAGCCGGGGCACACGGAAAAACAGAAGAACATGGAAGATACTACATTTCATGTGGACCAGATATTCCATTCGCTGCAACAACGGGAGCCATCCCTCCTCAACCAGGAGGAAACTGGAGATCCGCATTAGCGACAGTGGTCCATGTCCCCATGTGTGGGCACAGAAGGATGAACTGCAGGAAACCAGCCACCACTGAGGGCTTACTCTGTAGGAGACATGCTCCTAGGAGCCTCCCGCATTGAATGTGCATGAAGCACAGATATCCTTACCTTTAAATGAGGAAACGGGCACAGGGGGATGGCGAGGACTTGCCCGAGCTCATCTGGAAGGAAGGGACAGAGCAGGGATATGAAGCCAGTCTCCGATCGCCCCGAGACCACTTAGAAGAGGCTGGTGAATAAAGTGAACATGATCAAGCTCTGAACAGGTCCTCTTCTAGGTGTGGCTCATTAAGCTTATTTATGTATTTTTGGGGATCGAGCCCGCAACCCGGGCATGTGTCCTGACCGGGAATTGAACCGTGACCTCCTGGTTCATAGGTCGACACCTAACCACTGACACACACCGGCCGGGCTGATCATTAAATGTAAACACCAGACTGGAGAGAGAACCACTTACTAGTAACGTGGGGCGTGAGTCCTTGCAGAATTCTGTCTCCTTTGTCTCCAGATGTGCTGGACAGAAACAAGGAATCCAATATGCACATGTTTAAGCCAAATTAATACCCATAAATATTTTGCATGCAACAGTCTTTCTTTGGGCCTGTGACACCACCGTGACAAATATAATGAGCAATTAAATCCCCAAGGGCTCCGATTTTGGCAGCAATTAAAGCAGAAACGAGAAAGTACGCATCAAAAAGGACGGGTTTGGGTGGCCTGCTGCCAAATGAAGGCCCAGGGGTTGAGGGAAGGTCTAGACTTTCAACTGTGATAGATTTGATAGTGTTTTATCTCTCGTCTGTGTTAAGGACTGTATGAAAGGATAATAAAACAAATGAAGGGAATATCAACAGCAACCTGGAAACTAAATAACCCATTAGGAGATCTCTGGACGCTGAGAAATGTAAATAAGATCAGACACCACAGAATAACGAATTCAACGACACGGCGACAGAGTCACGGCCGCGCGGAGCGGGAAAGAAGCGGAAATGTTAGCCGCTTACATTATTAAACGAGAGAAATCATGACTCCCCTACGACTTCATTTTCATAGGACTGCATTTCTCTATGAAATCATCACAGTAACTAGAACTAAGCAGATTGGATCTAAGCTTTATACACTAATTAGAATTTTAGAATCAGAAAACCCATCTTAATAAATGAGAAAACTCAGTTCCATCATCCAAGTCACAGAGAGTTAATGGCACAGCCACTAGAACCGAAGTCGCTAAATTATTTAATAGTAAAACCTCAGGTCAATCGATTAAATCTCAATTCAGAAAAAAAAAATCTTAAAAGTCTGCTCTGTGCTTGGCATCATACTAAGCACATAACCAGGGACATCAAGGTGAGGAAGACAAGACCCCACGCTGATTGCAATCAGGTGAGAAGAGAGGGGTTAATTCTGGAGCAGAGGTGTCTGGGAGTTCGTTACGTCTGAACATGTCTTCAAGATGAGTCAACATGTTTCAGATGAAGGAAAACAAACGGCTAAGGTAGTGGAATTGGCTCTGGCCTCAGAGCTCGGTGTGATGCCGACCGGCCAGGGGTCCTTACGCAGGTTACTTAACGGGGCTTATTCTACGTGAAACCTTGGGTTGTTAGCAGAATTACATGAAATAACGCGTGGGAATCACTCGGCAGACGGAACAAATAGGTCTCCAGAACGTGGTGGAAGGAGAGGAAGGAGAGGAAGCCTGTCCATGAACTTCCCCCTGGTCCTGTCGGGTCTGATTTTATGGAGGAAGAAAATGTGCATTTTTCATGTCTTCCTGGTGATTCTTAGGAATAATAAAGCAAAATAAATACAGTATTTATAGAAAAAGAAGAATATTAATGTTTTGACCACAAGATCCCTACAAGAATACAAGGAAAATCATGATCCTTTTCTCTTAAAAAATTAAATATTTTAAAAATACATATGCATATATATACAGCATCCCCCCAAAATGTACACACACTTTGAATCATGATAAAGGCAGTATTTATTAAACTACATTCCATTTTCAAAATGTAACAGAAATCAGCTCTTAAAGTGTGCATACATTTTTTCGAGGCGCCCTGTATCTGCAATACACCGTGTCTAATTTCCGGGGCCACCAGATCCCCGAAACACACCATGGCGACGTCTCTCAGGAAGGATGACTGCGCTGGACCTAGATCACATGGCAATGCAGGGCACAAACAGAACCAGCTGCCCGGGCCTCGAGAAGCAAGGGGCCCACCAGCCCACTTTGTCCTGGTGTTTGGTAATGATGTATAAGTTCAAATTACTAATAAAAGTCTGATGTGAAAGTCAACCCTGTGCCAAGCTAGACATGAAAACCATTCATTCATTCACTCATCCATTCATTCAAGAGGTATTGAGAATCCATCTAATACAGTGGTTCTCAACCTTCTGGCTCTTTAAATACAGTTCCTCATGTTGTGACCCAACCATACAATTATTTTTGTTGCTACTTCATAACTGTAATGTTGCTACTGTTATGAATCGTAATGTAAATATCTGATCTGCAGGATGGTCTTAGGCGACCCCTGTGAAAGGGTCGCTCAACCGCCAAAGGGGTCGTGACCCACAGGTTGAGAACCACTGATCTAATAGGTACCAGATACTATGCTGTTGCTGGGGATACCAAGGCTTAAAAACCCAAACCAAAAAACTCTTCTTTTTTAAAAAAAAATACATTTTCAATACAACAAGGTAATTGATATTAGGCAAGCACACCCCCGTCCAGGGGGAGAGTCATAGCCACATATTAATCATGCATTAATGATCATTTCAAATTTGCAGCACATTATATTCTGAAGGACCCACAGGGAATTATCACCATGGAGGCAATTATAAATTCACATTTTTAAAATGGGAGACATTTAAATAAAATAGCACACTCCAAGTTATACTAATACAAGTCTAAGATGACTGAATATTGATTAGTTTAATGGTTTTATTTAGGCAGTGAGAAAAATCGAGAAAAGATAATACTAATGCCTTTACTTCTCATGTAGTTAGAAATTCTTAAGGTTGAAGTTCCTCTAAAGATTGAATGAGTCTGCCCAGCCAGCGTGGCTCATTGGTTGAGTGTTGACCTATGAACCAGGAAGTCAGGGTTCAAGTCCCTGTCAGGACACAGGCCCGAGTTGCGGGATCAGCCCCGTGTGCGGCGTGCAGGAGGCAGCCGATCAAAGACTCTCATCATTGATGTTTCTATCTCTCTCTCCCTCTCCACTCCCCTCTGAAATCAATAATATATTTTTTAAAAAGAATGAATGAGTCCATTCGGTGAAATGTTGTATTTTCATTCTGGCCCCTGAAAAATGCCTCAAAACTAGCCCCACTGAAGTTCTTTCCAAGTCAAGGAAGAAATAATGACAAGATTCAGGTTTTTGAAATTCCAGATGATCATTCTAATACCAATAGACAATTTCCAGTTCTAAACAAGAG